TGTTTCACTTCTCTCTGGTTGAATGGGTGTGAGGAATCACAGGCTTTAGTTTGCACCTAAGACAGTGGTCTTAGGTGCGAACAGAAAACCTTTCCCACGCATAGTCACTGTCTTGACTTTCTGACTCGGTCTTCCACAATAAGGACAGCAACACAATCGTTGGGTCTGCAGTGCAAAACAGACCTGTCCTTTAATAAATAGTTTATGTTGAACTACTTTGTCCTGTCCTTTGATATCCAGCAGGCATTGATCTGCTTTATCCTGTTTATGGTACGTTTATGGCTGTTGGTCCTGCATTTTGTTATGCTTTGTTATGCAGCGCAAGTTGCTCAAGCAAGCCAGCTTTATTGTATCTTAGCATAACCTTTGGTGAAGGCTAAATTAACAGATCCCAGCAATACTTTCCATGGTGTGGTTAAGTAGTAATACTGCAATGGTGGATACATGTACGTGCAATATTAACATGTCCCACTTTACATTGATTTGTGATGTTGAGCCTGAGGCAGCACAGCTCCTGTTCCTCTGCAGGGACACCAATAAACACCCGAAGGGACTGAGTTCAGGCTTCATTGTTGCCTGGCTACGGTCTTGGGATGAAACACGTTGTAAGAGCACCGCCCCAGCAGGGACCACATTCCGCAGACCCCTCTGGGGAAGGGGCTGCTCGCACAGTCACCTGACCAGCCGCAGGAAGGCAGGTGACTACAAAACAGGAACAGGAAGCTCTCGGAGGCTCTCTGTGGGCGTGGCTTGCTGCTGCTCCAGGACAGCCCCTGCGCGTACTGTACGTCTCGCCAGCGGAAGGACCGAGCAGGGAGCAGAGCGACTTTGTGAGTTCAGGGAAACGAAACCGAATTTTGTGGATTTTTGGAAATTTTGTGTAGAGTGTTGGAGGGACCGTGTTTGAGAATTTTCTGTGTTTGTGGCCGGTCAGCAGTGTAGCTGCTCGGCTTATATTAGACGGGGGCTTCATGAAGAATTTTAAGCAGAAGCTCGATGAAGAGCTGAGACTGTTTTGCTTTTGTTTTTAGGTGATGGTGTTAGGCGTTTCCCCGCCTCGTAAAATAAATTGCAACTCGGGCCTTTAAACGTTACAGCTGGGTGTTTTTGTGTGTTTTGTTGGCCTGAACCTGCCTGTGTTGAAAGATCGCGTTTTAAACAGTCACACCCCTGGTTATGTCACATTGCAACAGAAAGAAACTGCCACACAGCTCCTACAGAGACACTTTACCTCGGCGAACAGATTGCTGATTTTTTCTCTCTCGGAATAGAATTTGTTTTAAAATTAAAATGATCATTTCATGGAAAAAAAAAACGTTGTTTTGTTGTTTTGCTGTGTAAGCGTCTGCCTGACTGAAATCTTCTTTTTATAGAAACTTTCCACAAATCAAGAACAAAGCAGAATTCTCCCCCTGGCAGTCCCTTAAATCATGGCATTATTTCTGCCAGAAAAACACAACCCCAAACCCACAGGAGAAAGGGAAAGTACTTTTAAAACTGAGGAAAGAATGCCGTTCTTTACACTAAGGGTGGTGAGGGTCTGGAACAAGATGTCTATTAGCTCTTTTGTTGAATCTTGATGTCCTGGCTTCTGTAAAAAAAATGGTGGATTGAGATTCTCAGATCATTCAATCAATTAGATCAATTCAGATCAATTAGATACTAAAGAACTAGACATGCCTTATGGCCTATTCTCATTGTTTTCTTATGTTCAAGTCTAGCTATTAGAATGCAAACCCAAAAGGGAGATAGGGATTCTCTCTGTGTTACACAATATCCTGTGTGAGGTGTGAAAGTGGCTGGAGATGAGTTCATCAACACTCACAGCAGGCACAAGGGCCTCTGTCCACAAGGTGCTTTTCCTCTGATCATCACTCCTTGGAGATCAAGTGACCATCTGCTAGGAGGAGCTCAGTGAGCCCTCCAGGCATTGAAGAAGACTGAAGCTGAACCCGAAAGAGAGAACAGGGGGCCTGGCTGTTTTCAAAAACTGGAGGAAGTTCACTGGCACTTTATTGACTTCAAGCTTCTCCTTCAGATGGGGGCTGTGGAGTAACACTCATCCCCCGCAGAGTCTGAAAGACCCTGACACATTTCATCTTCAGTCTGGGACGTCCCTTTCTGTACAGATCATAAAATAATTTCCCTCAGCCTAACTCCTGAAAGCACCACACTGCAGAAGCGCATGCTCGCCACTCTGGTGCAGCAAGACAGAAATACAACTCCAGATCTCCCCAAAAACGCAGTGTGTTTTTTTTCTGGTATTTACGCCAGAGTGTGGAGGCCTACTGGATTTTTTTTTTTTAAGCTCGGGTATTTACAAGGATGTCTGAATCCGCCTGGCAGAATCCTGGTGACTAGCCAGCCAGTAGGAGTCGCGTCTGGGAGGAGACAGATTGAGTGATGTCCTGAGGGCTTGTGGGTTCTGCCTTCTGATGCCCTCCCCCGCTTCTAAAGGAGCAGAACAAGTTGCTGATACTGATCTAATAGTACAGTATGCGTGTGTGATCAGCTGTCTTTTTCGTTACCTTTCACTGCTGCCAAATTCGTACACGCTCACCCGAAGTTAAAGTGAAATATACAGTTTGTACGTATTACCCTTCTGAATATACAAATGTTGCTTGACTTCTGTTTTAAGGAAGACCGTTGGATGGATAGGAACACTTTTGCCGGGAAAATGTCATTTTGTTTTTGTGCTTTACAAAGCAAGCGGTCTTTTAATGCCTAGAATATCAGGGTGCTAAAATATTTGACTTTTTTATAAAACATCAAACTTTCAAAGGGAAAAGACACCATTAGTGGGGTTTTTTCCTTTACAGATACATTACGCATGCAGTTTATACTATTAAGAATAATGTGTTTTTCTTTACCGCTGGGCGATACTTTAGGTCATAACATTCCCTTAAAAATGAGCAGGGACTTCAAGATCTGAGATCATGCGTTGGTCTATGAATGGTCTGATCGTGTCCTTATGTAAGGTTTCTTTATGACAACAGACCAGCTTTCCAGAGTGTCTTTCTCTTTCTCCCCCTAGCGTTCGATGAGCGTATTTTAGTACCTCTAAAATTGTGCAAGCTTAAGTGGAAAGTCCCTCATACTGGAAATCCCCACCCGGGCTTTTCCATGTGAAAAAAATGTCTCTAACTTATCTAGAGGTCGTTTTTTTTTCTTGTTTAGTTGACAAGTCTCTAGCCTGAGTGAGTGGAGCCTGAACCAAGAAGCAATCATACTACCCAAAGGATATGAAGGTTTAATGGCGTTTGGGACTGTGGGTTATACAGTCTAGAGCTTGGGGTTCAGGGTTACCTTTTTGTACAGTACAGCATCGAGGAGTTTTGTCTGTCCTAGATACATTGTAAAGGTAAGTTTTGGTAGCTTTTAAAATATTCTGTTCCAGTTCATTCGTTCGTTGCCGTTGAAACTGCGCTCTTGGTCGCAGTTACTTGTGTTAATGGTGTTAAGTGTTGTCAGTCCGGCACAGTTCTTATCCATATATGTGAATGTTTGTCTGATTTTTTTAAACGCACCGGAGCGATAACGCCAGTTCTGTTCACAAACTTCAGTCTGCAGGTAAACCCCAGACACGAGTGCGTTTTATGAAAGACGTGGTCTGTGAACCGGGCTGTAAGGGAAGATTGCTACAATTGCATTTTTATATATAACCCTTATAGGATCATATAGATCAGTGCGTTCTTCTTCCTGGGGGTGCGTTTCCACGCGTGCACATCGTGCGGCACACAGTCTGGTGCCTGCTGTCACTAGTTCAGAACCGATTGCTATAACCATAAAGACTTCTTCGGATTATGGCTAGTTGTGTTGAAAAAAATGTTGCGGTCCTTTAACTACCGAAAGGCTCCTAGGATTCTGACTTGAGTGCATTTGACGGACAGTGGGCGCTATAAACCGCGCATCCTTGCAGTCCGCAGCACACTGACCTGCTCCCCAGCAGACCGGGAGATGAACGGACTTGATCGCTAGACTGCAGTGGAGTGTTGTCGCTCTGGCGATCAGCAGCTCTGCCGGGCGGACTGCTAAAACGATTCTGGCATCGTGAACGCTGTTGCGTCTTTCTGATGGTTTTTGTTTGGAATATTTTGGTATTTTAAAATCTGACGATCGGCCTTGGGGAAAGCTATGAAAATGCGTAGAAATCTCAAATGTATGACAACAAAACGTGCACCTAATTATCGACCAGTCATTTTAATCTGGCCTCTATTTTACGAGCGCCGTCTCTCCCCCGTGTGTAGACCCATACCGTACACGGTACTGTGTCTGGGGTGCCGTCTGCCTTTTTGGGGCTTCTTTGCTCGTGCCCTGTGTTAAAGTCGCCTAATCATGTGCAGCAGAGCACCGTATGAGTGAAGACACGCTAGTTAGCACTGTGCAGTACCTCTGGGGCCACAGAATCTTTTCCTCCACACGGCTTCTCAATCTATGATTTGTTCTAAACGTCGGCTGGAATTCTAGCAATGTTATGGAATCAATTTCTTTACCGGAGGCTAATAAAAATGTAATGTCTCAGTCACTGGGCTTTTGTATTCCAGTTTACAGTGATAATGTACAATAAAATAACCTGAATCTTACATGGATATTCTGTGTGAAATATTCTTTAAAACATGCGCGCGTTTTAGTCTCACCTTCTTTCACATATTTTCAATTCAATAAATACACCTTTGCTTCAGTAATTAAAATCAGAAAAGTCTGATGACTATTTTCCAGAGGCTCTCTGCAATGTCGATTGATAACCTCCGTAGTTCTGTTTCGAATTTTGTGAGGCGGGTTGAAGGGTCAAACGTTTCGTCCGATTGGTCAGTTTTGACTGGCAGCGACTGTTAGGATTGGTCCCGTTTTGACAACCTGCGTTCTGGCGCAGGCGCGGTCAGGTGCCCGTCTAGAGGTCAGCTGACGCTGGTCCCGCGCTCGGGATGGGCTAGGACTGGAGAATTCTGGGCCTGAGCCCAGTAAAGCTCGCAGGGTCGTTGCCAGCACAACAACCAGAGCTGCCGGTCGAGGTACATAAATATGTGAAGGGAAGGTCTGGCTGGGGTGCGGGTGGATGGGGAAAGGATCTGGGGTGTGATTTTGGTTTGGAATACTGCATGTAGTTACCAGTGACTCTGCTGGCGCCAGTAATCCTGGTCTTGTGGTCTCTGCGCCTGTGACAGGTCGGACCTGCGTCAGTGCGCCGCTTGGCACCCAGGTGCAGCTGCGGGATTCAAGAGGGAGGCCGGTTGTGTGTGGTTTGTGCGCGCGCCGTCTTCCTGTCTCCCGGTCAGGCCAGTGCAGGGTGGCATTGCACTGTGGGTCAAGTAACAGGAGGTCCTTCCCAAGGGGCCGACAGATATCCAGAGCGTCATTTCTAACTGGGACTCTAAATTAAGGGAGGAAAAGATACATTGCCGGCCTCCAGGAGCCCTTTGTGCATCTAAATGTTCTTGTTGTAGGTTGTTGCCTTAAGAGCGATGATTAATAAGTGCGCTTCTTCTTTGCAGATTTGTATTATTATTATTTATTGGGGGGAAAAAAGATGTCCCAGGACCAGAACTTTCTGCCCAAGTTCCTGTTTGTGAGCAACCTTCTGAAGACCGTGAAGATCCGCGAGCGGGTGCCCGACGATGTGGTCAAGCCCACTCCCCCTCTCCGGATCATCCACCACCTGCGGAGCATGCACAGGTACACCCTGGAGATGTTCCGCACCAGCCAGTTCCCCCAGAGGTTCCGGGAGGTCATCCAGGCCGCGCTCCTGGACCAGGCCATGCAGACGTCCCTGGAGCGGGAGAAGAAGCTGAACTGGTGCCGGGAGGTCAAGAGGCTCGTCCCTCTCCGGACGAACGGTAAGAGGGCATCCCGTCTGCCGTCCGGCGCTGGCGGTGGTGGTGGTGGGGGGGGTCAGTGGTGTGGGTCTGAAGCATGTGTGCATTCACGGGGTTCTGAGTTCAGTCGAGAGATTTCATACTCGAGAGTGGGATTTAACTCTCCCCAGCCAGATACCACCAGCATGAAAGCCTTGAATGTCCCCCCCTTCTCTGGCATCAAAGTTCTGCCTTTCTGTATCTCCCAGGTGACACAGCACCTCCAGAGGAATTCTCACCTGTATGGTCCCCTGTCTTCTAGAACAAGTTCATGGATAGAGGTCCTATCTTTGAGTGTTGCTCACAGCTACTCATTTGATTGAAGGGTCCTGTCTAAAGCAGGTATTCATGTTGTCAGCATCCCAGCAGGGGAATATTACTCAGAAATATAATGCACCTTATAAGTGTTAAGGGATTTCATCACGGCGATGCCTTTGGGATTCTGAATCAGTGCCCAGTAAAGTAAAGCCTCTCTTGTAGGCCAGATTGTCTCCAGAAATGTGGGCTCCAGCAGGACTTGGTCCGCACAGCAGCAAACCGACATGGTCTGGCAGAAAGACAGACCTGAATCTGGGAGTTTGAGTGAGGGGTGGACTTGGAGCTGCTGTCTGCGTTGTCCCTTGCAAGGGGGCGTGAGCTCAGCTCTTCCCAGAGGGAAAAGCGAAAGCAGGCTGACGGGGCACTGTGGAAGAGCTCATTCCATTCGTGCAGACTGGAAAGGGCTGGCGGTACCGCGGGGCGCGAGTCTCGCTCGTGGCTTGAGTCAGAAGGGGTCCGGAGAAAGACGGGCTGAGTCACTTGGGTACCACCTTGACGTCACGGCTGCAGGGGCCACATGGAGCAGCTTTCTGTGTCATCTCTGCAGTTCGTCCCCATTCGCTGGAAAATCCAGTGACGTCATTTTACACCTCCCCCCCCCCGGCGAAGAGGACTTCTGCGCTGGATGGAAGGGGTGTGAGGACTAGAGTGCGTCTGCAGAGACATTTAGAGCTTTGAGTGCTCACATTCTTCTGTGAGCTACTGGTAGGGACGTCAGTGCTGTCCCCTGGTTCGGGCATTTCCTTTCCAGTAAGCCCTGGGGCATTTAATACGTGCTGACAAGCTGGTAATGTACGCAATATCGCTTCCAGTCGTCAGGACAAATTTAGGCCACAAAATTTGAATCGCCGTCCATAAAGGCTACATTAATCAACAACCCAGTCATGTTTGCTTAAGGTCTGGAAATCCAGCAATACACAACGAGGCAATGTTTTAAGAGAGATCTCGTTTAGACACATCTTGAGAATAGTCAATCTGATGTTTGGATTTCTTTGGGGAACTTGTGAAAAGAGGTGGATTTTGGGGTCAGTCTTTAGCGGTGATCTGGCACTTTCAGTTCAGTGCTATATTTTTAACCTTTTTGACCTCAAGTGTTCCCAGTGGCCCTGATTGCTTTTGTTTTACCAGGAAGATGGACTTTTTGACTTCCTGTCACAAGCAAAATCCCTGACTCGGCATAGTTAATAGTTCTGTTTTTCCAGGGAATTTCTTGTCTGAGCTCAGAATGACAGAGCAGGGATTGTTTTAAGAAAGAGCTCTGTATGGAAGTGACGCAGACTGGTGACAGACAATGGAGCTCATTCCCGCCACTGGACAATAGCACCATGACTAATGGGAAAGCTTCTTATCACATGACTCTGCAGTAAGCACAGGAAGACAAAGATCATGCCAATTAATACATGTATCTGTGGGACAGATCTGAGCTTTTTATTGCCCACTCTACAGTATATAATTATAGAG